GTATTTCAATCCGGATTTCGATCGATCGGTAGCCGGTGGTTGGATGTGACATGCGATGGGCGACATCAGGCTCAGGAGGTTCTTTACACCTCCTCCTTGGTATTTGCCGGTGTTCCTCTGGTAGCGAGGTGCATTCAGGGGCCGAAACACATTCGCACTTAACCACTCTGGTACACGCCGGGTGTGCCCGGTCTTCGATCTGCCCTTCATTAAAAAACGACATGCATCTGCAATTCAGCGAGCTGGCCAAGAAACACGGCTCCGTGTTCGGCGTCTGCACTCGACTCGTCGTCGTTCTCAGAGATTACAGTCGTAGCATCGTAAAACATTTAGACGCGAAAGCCTCACCGACAAGGGGGAGGAGGAGCGATATTCACGACAGATACACGGCGCGTGTATCAACACGGAGAGTGTTTACGTATTTAAAGCAGACAGAACTGTTTAAATTCTGCTATAACTCCAGAGTTGTAATTTTTAAGTCGCGAAAATCAATCCGTCGATTTTTCATTTTGGCGTTCCTATTTTTTTAACGGTTACAACATTTCTGAAATTAATGGGGAACTCCGATATTCTTTTATAATTATTTTTTTTTTTTTATTTTAGAAAGCAGCTAATTTTAAACGTAGAAAGAGAGATAATTCCATAATAAACAAAATTTATAATTACACGAATTTACTGTTGAAAGGATGGCTTGATACCTAAAACGACCGATTAGCAATCGGTGGTATCGGGTTCAATTCTTCATTCTATGTATTTATTTTATACACAAAAAATAATTAGAATTATATTCATAAATATATATTAGTTATGTCACTAAAAAGTGCCAGTTTAAGATTATTTTTTTTTTTACTATTATGAGAAAAATCGAAATTTATTTCTGGATAATTCAATATAACGATTTCTCGTCCTAAATTTTTAATTACTTATTTCTCAACTAATGTATTAATTATTAATTAACAGATTCAAACATTGGATTATTTGTATTGTCATAATAAATAACGGATAAAAACAATTCATTATCCTTAGATGAATTGACAATAATTGTCGCGCCATACATTTTGATCGTATTATTTTTCGAGTGTATTTTTTCAAGATAATAATGCATAACAACTGAAAGGAAATGGGTGTAATTCAAGTATATTTCGTTTGTGAATGACTTGACATGAGAATTAATTATTATGACTAAACACGACTTTACGACGAAAGAGCGGAAAGTGACGAAATTCGTCGTCGGCTGCCAAAATTGCTTCGGAACAGCCGCATAAATGTATCTCACTATACGTTCTTTTGCTCTTATTTTTTTAAGGCAGCGGGCCTATACTAAATGTAAAAGTAAAAAATTTTAAATAAAAGTAAAATGAGAAATTGAGATAGGTGAAACAATAAACGGAAATGTGAAACCTATTATAGGTAATAATTCAATTTTATACTAAATGACTTATAAAATTAATGGAAAACGGGCTCGGCGAATATAAAATCAAACTAAAGCTAACTAAGGGCCAATTATGAGTAATTGGTCTTTCTATTATTATCTGTGTTTTGTATCATAAAGTTTCTTTCAACTTTTTCTATTTAGGGAAAAGTTTCTTTTTACCGCTAGTTAGCTTTAGTTTTACAACTTTAATTTCTGCAAGATTATTGCGTAATCGAGAAATTTTAAGTCGAACCGAATTGGATTTGGACAGATTGCCATTAGTAGTAGGTATACTTCAAAGAAGATATGCGTAAATTAATTAAACGCATCATTGGCTTAACGTGATGTTAGTGATTTTATGCGTTAAAACTCGTTTACGAGAGTATGCGAAAAATCGTAAAATGCGTTATCCAACGCATATTGATTTATTAATTATAACGCATGCGTTAAAAAAAAAGATATACAATTTTGTAGAGTTTTAGTGCATCACTTTTGATGACTTAAAATCTATATTGAAGCAAAATTTTTTTGCCCAAATTTTCGCGAGGAGCGCGTGCATTTGGCATAATTTTCCTTTTATTTTTTTTTTCTCTTTAGAAACGCATGCGTTAAAATTATCCCTGTTACAGGATAGTTGGACTGCATTCCAAAATTCCACTCAATCAATTCTATAGAACATCGAAATGATGGCGAACAAAGTAAGTCAAAGTAAATTATTGAGTCGAATCGGATTCCGAGCGTGAAACAATAAGATCATTAAAGGAAATTGGGACTGATATCTGAGATGACCTAACAAAGGAATTTGAACTCGTAGAATTCTAGCTGGATCAATTTGAATAACCTGTGAGATTAAAATCAGAAGAACTCTAATGCTTGTCTGCATCTTAGAAAGAGGTCGTAAGAATCTTCTCTGGGCACGCCCTACTTTTGGAATGAACGAACTCCATCCAACATCATGTTATTTCGCATTTCGGAAAAGTTCTATTCTTAATGAACCTCCCTCAACTTGAAGTGGAATTTTGGAAAGTAACCCTGGGCTATTATAACGAGCGATCTCACGTCTGTTTAAGTGTAAGTTTACGCGTTCAGCGTGTTATGACACATTAGCGTACCATGTAACTGAGTATACATTGAGATACAAAACTTATAAGCATATAATGCCTTAATGTTAATGATAATATTGGGAGCGTTATTGTATAATTAGCTGACAGGAAGGGGTCGATACTTACGGAAGGAGAAGACGAGAAAACAGGCCAACATACAAAATGCCGAAGACGCGATCGATGTCTCCATTTTGTTCGCGATATTTGATATTTTCTTATAATTCCGATGACAAGAGAGAAAGAGTGTGCAAGTGAGGTGTGTCCCATAGCGAATTGCTATCTAAAATAGTTCAAGCTAGATGTCGATGTTTGTAGCAGATAAAGAACAATGCAACGCAGCATATTGTAATTAAAATTAAAAAGTCATTAATATCACTGGCTACTTTATTTATTCCAGTCTATTTATTTATCAGTTAATTAGCCACTTTACATTCCTGTTGCTGGAAACAAATATCAATTTTAAGATATTAATTATTTTTTTATCTAGATTTTAAACAGATATATTACATAATTTAATTGTTATAAAACAAATATTTGTACAAAAAACAAATATGTATGAATAGTGAATTATAACTTTTGATATTAACGATTTGAATTAAGATTATCACGGTTTTTTTATATTTCTCAGAATGTTATTTGTTATTTTCCTAGGTACAGGAATCTCGCAATCTCTGTAAAGGACATCACAGTTTTCACCTCGAATTCCTGCTGCACCTGCATCTTTCACAAGACGATCCCAACCTGTGACTAATTTGAATGATTTCTCTATATTTTTCCTGCGAAAAAGTCACAACGTTAATTTGTAAATTTTAATGCAAGTTATTACATATTAATGTAAATTTCATTAAAATTCAATATAAATTCAATTAAAGTTTTTCTTTTAACTGTTTCTGTCAAAAGAAATTATACGATTAAATCTTTCCGTTATTTATTTTTTCTTTAAACGGTTAATCGCGATATTAAAAAGAGCGCTGCTAAAAAAATAATAATAGCGAAAATACTTACGTTAAATGCTTCGCCAGCATCTTACCCGGTGCACCCAGATCTCTAAAGAGTTTGCGATTTTCAAGACATATTGTCCTCTGTATACACCGTACTCTAGCATCGCTATTTAGAATCTCTTCTTCCTCCGGCGTCTGAAAAATTCGTGGAAAATCTTAATCTACCGCCAGCATACAAAAATTTTGACTGCGAAGTTTGGAATTCATGATTTATTCTAGCAATTTCGTTCAGCCAGCAGAAACGGAATGTTTCATCACGATAAGTAAGCTTCCAAGTCTCCAGCAAATTTGCCCAGCTATATTTGCGGCTGAATTGAGACGAGTAATAAAAACTTGGCATTTGTAAGTTCTCAAATTTATTTTTGAATTGATAAGATTTTCTTGTATTGATAAACTTTACAATATAAAAAAATTAATAAGAGAATATCAGAAATAGAGAAATTTAAAGAAACTTTGAAAACAAATTTCTATTTAATTTATTAATTTTTTATGAGTTTAAATATTACGTAATTTTGATTAGGAAAATTATTATTTAAACATCCCCTTAACTTAAAAACGTGAAAAATAACGTACCACAGAATGAAAATCATGGGTAGCATAAACGTCCCGCTTTTGCCTGGACGATAATAGATCCATTATTGCATCTTTCCGCTTAATAGCACTAAGCGTATTTTGTATAATTGCCAAAAGCAATAAGAGACCGATGAAACTGACTATTACAAGCTGTTTCGACGAAGGGACGATGGAGTGTTCTATTGAGTGTGCTACTGGATACCCAACATTGGGATATTCATATCCATACGGCACGTTTTCACTTCTGTGATGCAGAAACGTTCGTTTAGGCACTAAAACATGTTTATATATATATATATATATATATATATATATATATATTATTTATTAATTATTATTATTATTATTAATATATATATTATTTT